AGGAGGTTTCTCTGATAAAGGCCTCATTTCTCAAATGTATAGGGAACTGAGTTAAATTTATAAAACTAAGTGCCATTCCTCAATTGATAAATGGTCAAAAGATACGAACGGACAGTTTTCAGAAGAAGAAATCAAAGCTATCTATAGTCATATGAAAAAAAATACTCTAAATCATTATTGATTAAAGAAAGGCAAATTAAAATAATTTCACACCTATCAGAAATGACAAATGCTAGTGGGGATAAGGGAAGAATAGGTACACTAGTAAACTATTGGTGGACTAGTGAACTGGTTTAACCATTCTTGAGAATAATCTTGAACTATGCCCAAAGGGTTATAAAACTGTGCATGATCTTTGATCCAGCAATACCAATACTAGGTCTATATCCAAAAGAGATTAAAGAAAAAGGAAAAGGACCTATATGTACAAAAATATTTATAGCAGCTCTTTTCTGTGGTGGCAAAGAATTAGAAATTAAGGGGATGTTCATCAGTTGGGGAATGGCTGAACAAGTCATGGCACATGATTACGATGGAGTACTATTGTGCTATAAGAAATGAAGAGGGGGGTGGTTTCAGAAAAGCATGGAAAGACCTATATGAATTGATGCAAAGTGAAGTGAGAACAGGAAGATCATTGTACACAGTAGCAGCAATGTTGTAAAGATGATCAACTGTTAAAGACTTGGCTACTCTGATCAATACAGTGATCCAAGACAATTGAAAGGATTCATGATGAAAAAATGCTATTCATGTTGTCAACCAGACTGGAACTGGCCTCTAACCTGTGAGTGGTTGGAGCCAAACCAGCTAGAAACAGGAGAATCAGGACACAAACAGAAGTTTAATTTCAGAGTGAGGAAAATGATGTATGCATAAGGAAGCTGCCCCTCCTAAGAAGGAGGGCTTGAGGCTGCTAAGGCTGGGGCCACTTATATACATGAAAGGGGCTGGCCCACAATACAACTATTCTTAGATCTTGAGATATTTCTCATGGTTAGCATTTCTTGGGACAATACAGGTATTCTTGGGTCCCATGGGAACAGTCATTGTCTCAAGTCTTGGGGGTTGTGACCAACCTGCCAGGTACAGAACCAGAGTTCTGTGGTGGGAACAAGAGTGCAGTACCTGTCAGTGACAAGAAACAGGGATCATGAACATGTGATGGACAGCTCTGGAGAACAAGGGGAGCTAAATTCCTTAATGAACACTTGGTGCTGGTCTGAGCAATACACTTTGTCAAAGGGTGATATCATTCTGAGGGCAAAGGATTATTGTTATGCCAAGCTCAGTACACAGTCTGCTTGCTGGACCTTAGCTCTGAAAATATTTTGACAATGTCCAGAGAGAGAAATGATGAACTTTGAGTGCAAACTGAACTATAATTTTCTCATTTTTTATTTTTTTAATTTAAAAATTTAAATTCAAAATTTAAAAAGAAAAGAATGTTAAAAATCAATAATTTTTTAAAAAGTAAAACAATTCCCTGACTTTAGAATATTATAGGGCCTCCTCAGTGGGATTAATTACCTCTTGAAAGAAGGTAATCTAGTAATCCACATACAAAAATTCAAGTTTATGAAAAATGCATATGATGGGAAGTTGGATGGAAAGCCCAATGAGTTCATATATTTTGCACACATATTTTAGATGGACCATGAGCTGAACCCAGAATTCAGTGGGAGGAGAATAGGATGGATTGCATTTGGGAAACTGTGTAGAGCTTTCAGGGATCCCAAGTTGCTCCTTGTTTCCCAAGCATACTTTTAAATGTTAACACTCTCCTAGAGATGTGACTATGAATCACAGAACACCACAATCTCAGAAGAATCATGTTTGTAGGTTGTACAAGGGGCACTAAAAAGACTCGTGGAGTGTGCAGGTAGGTTGTAGCACATTATTAGTGGTCCATTACTAAAAATTTCTTTCAATCCTGTTCTTCCTTTTGTTTCTAGGGGGAAGCATCTATGTGTCTCCCTAGGAAACAAGATGAACAACCAAGGACACTCAGACTATGCTGACTGTTTCAGACATAGTAGCAATGCTTTCTTAAAAATGGGTAACAGCAACAGTGGAAGCAACAGGCTTTCTTTGGTGTCCAAGTACACTTTTGTGGGGCCAGAGATTGAAGGGGACTTAAAATTGTCTTCTGTGAAGACCAAAAAAAAAAGACTTAATTGTTGTTCCCTTTCAAGGATGTTTATGGAAGGTTATCCACGCCTTAACAGCAGTGGCATTCTAGAGCCAGCTCCTAATGGCTCACTAGAGCTGATTGTAAAATTTTCAGTGTGAGCATTTACACCTTGGAAATCAGCAAAAGTTACAAATCAGAGCTTGATTTATTATTTTGTTGATTTCTAGACTTAAGAAAGCAATAGAGAAAATGCTAATAATGCAGATTAAACTTAAATGTGTGTTGTGGGTTCATTTTTTTATGTGAGTTTGTTATTGAGTATTTACTACAACATATCTGCTCACAGGAAAACTATGAAGGTGGAACAAATAAGAAATAGAGCATGCAACATTTTGAACAATGAGTTTTTTTTTTTTTTTTGTAGGAGGGATAGTGTGCTTCTTAAGATGTAGCTAAATCTAGAACTCTGAGATAGAAGGTTTTCCACTTCCCAATATTTTATGTTCACCTAATAAATTCTGGGATCTCTTGTGCATGAAGAAGGGTTAGATAAAGCACCATTTAACCTAGGAACTTTCCAGAAAGGACAGCAGAAAAGCACAGGCCTTTTGGTTTTGTCTGTTTGTTTGGAAATTTTCAGGGCCCCAAAGTAAGCAATGAACTAGTTCTGAAACGAAATAGAAATTGGGTGTATTGGGGAAGGAAAAGACATGCCTTCTCTCTCATACGCCATCCATGATGTCTGACTTAAGTACAAATTTGGCAGCAAAAAAATAAATTAATAAAGAGGTTGATAAAAGCGAGGAGAAGTAAGAGGATAACTAATTGTCATTTTTTCAAGTCTTGTGGCCAGCCTCTGGGGCACTGGTTTACTCATCTGTAAAATGGGGATAATAATACTCCCAGTGCCAAGCTCACTGGGTTTTTTTTTTTGTTTGTTTCTTTGGTGAGGCAATTGGGGTTAAGTGACTTGCCCAGAGTCACACAGCTAGTGAGTGTTATGTGTCTGAGGCCAAATTTGAACTCAGGTCCTTCTGACTCCAAAGCCTGAGCTCTATCCACTATGCCCCCTAACTGCCCCTGAATTTTTTTGATGATTAGATGAGGTGAGGTATATAAATTGCTTTGTAAACCTTAACAGCTATTTATACAGTTCAGCCAAACTATGACACTCTGATGATTTTGTGTGTGCAATAACTTGTCTGGAATGGCCTTATCTTTGTTATTACCTGTAGAGATTCTACCCATCCTTTAAGACCCAGTTCAGCCATTTCAGAGAAGCAGCATGGTAAGTGGTTGGAGGACTGAATTTAGAACCAGGAAGCCCCGAGGTCCTAATCCTCCCTAAAGTACTACTGCATGACTCTAGCTTAGTTCCTTAACTTCTCTGGGCCCAGGGTTATTCCTCCTACCATCTGCAAAATGAGGCATTTGGATTCTGTGGCCTCTAAGAACGTCCCCACCTCCAACCTCCACCCCAAGCTCTAAATCTATTGTTATAAACTTCAGTTCTGTTTTTCTTAGTTGTCATCCAGGAATTCCCTTCATCAATGAAATCACAAGTCCAGCCCCTATCTCTGCATTAAGTGATGACAAATGCCCGGTTCAAGTGATAAGGGATTCAATATTTGAAGATAAAGTGTAAACTCCCATGTCACTTTGTATCTTTTTGGGGTTCTGCCTGGTCTCAATCTCACAGTGATTTGTCTGTTTCACAGAAATACACGTGAGTTACAAGGGACCTTAGAGATTACGGGACTCAACCCTTTCTCCTTGTTCTAACTGGATTGTAGGTTTCTTAAGAACAGGGTCTAAAAAAGCAAAAACCAAACCCAAAGGTCATTTTTTAAAAATATGCCTCCACAGGAACATAACAGGTGCATATAAGCTGTCAAAGCTTAAAACTTCAGCAAGACTTTTGGGATACCCTGTATTGTTAAATAAATTGATGTTGGAGGAATACTCTAATACCTGGTTTGTTTTCTGGTTGTAGGACTCTTAAACATGCTGGCCCAACTAGTCGAAGGACCCACCTAGTCTTGTTTTTATTTTGCAAACATAACTAACTAAATCAATAATATAGTTGTCACTTTGTGGAGTAAAAAAAAGTTCGGCTGCTTCTTCCCAGAATTAATGTCTATTTTATATATTATATTTTATGTATTATAAGGTCTCTTTGCGGAGAGAACTGAATCAATGGATTCACCACTCTGAAGTTGGGCTGGTCCTTCTCAGAGTTACTCCAGTCCGCCAAACTTTCTCCTTTTATTCCAATCTCCAGTGGAGTCTACGCCGGGGCCCAGGGCTCGGAGCTCACGGGGTTGCGAGGCACGCCCGCTTGCACAGGGTGGTTAAAGCCCCTGCCCCAAAGCACCCAATCCCCGCGCTCCTCCCGGCGGGATTCCGGCCCCGGGAACAGGACGTTCCATGCCCTCGAGCGCCAAGGTTTCCCACGCGCACACCTTCCCCTTCCCCTCTCCCTCCGCCCCTCCCTCCTCCTTCCGCACGTGTCTCTTTCCTCAGCTCTGTTTGCGAACTCGCGCAGGGCGCTCCGCTGGGGGAGTGAGGAGGTGGGGGGAGGGTTCGGGACGCGTGAGACCGGACGGGGCAGCAGCCCGCGGGCTTGGAGGGCGGGAAAGCTCGCCCGCCACTGAGGAAATCGCTGAGGGGCTCTGAGGAGACGGCGCGCCCAGCGCTCTCCCCCGCCCGCCTCCCTCTGCTTCGGAGGCCTTGTGGGTTTGGCCTACAGCGGCGGCCGCAGCTGGGGCTCTCCCCTAGGGAGGCAGAGGCGCAACGCCGGCCCCGTCCCGGGCCGGGTCCCGAGCTGCGGCGTCTCCCTCGCGCTCCCTCGAGCCCGCGCCGGGGCATGCTGCTGCTGCTCCCGCCCCCGCCGCCGCTGGCGGCGCTGCTGCCGATGCTGCCGCCTCCCCCGCCCTGGCCGGGAGGGCTGCTGCTGCTGCTGCCCGGCGGGCCACGGAGCTGCTGCTGCTGCTGCTGCTGCAGCCGCTGCTGCGCGGGCCTAGCTGCCGCCGCCCGCTGTTCGTGGACTGTCCCGCCGGAACCCCCGCCCTGGCCGGCTCCTCAGCCTCCGCAGCAGCAGCGCGGGCGGCGGCGCCAGGGACGGAGGCGGCGGCGGAGAGGAGGAGCCGGAGCCGCAGCTGCGGGAGGAGGAGGTGGAGCGAGCCGCGCCTCCTGTCCCGCCTGGTCGCTGCCTCCACCTCCGCCCCTGCCCGTTCCCCTCTACCTTTGCCCGGTCCCCGCCGTCCTTAGCGCCCCGGCCTTCCTGCCCCCGGGGATCGTGGTGTCTCGGGCCTCGGGGCCCGGTGCATGGCCGGGGGGGCCCGGTGCATGGCCGGGGAAGCCCGGCGGGCTACTGCGGGGCTGGGCGGTCCCAGCCTCTGCCTTCTCCTCCTCCTCCACCACCACCTGGGAGGAGTCCTTCAGGCCGGTCCAGGAGATGAATCCCCCGGGAAACGGTGAGAGCCTGCAGGGTGACGCCGGGCAAAGGGGTGGGCGCCGGGCCGAGGCCGCCGCCGGGGGCTCCGCTCGCCCCCCGGCCCCGGCGCTTCCCGCCCGCCGGGCCGGCCCGCCCTCCGCGGGCTCTCGGCCGCCCCGGGGCCGGGAGGAGGAGAAGGAAGAGGCGGCGGCAGTGCTGGTGTCACCTCCCTCGCCCCGACTTTGAATCCTCAGGCCCCGCCAAAGAGGAGGCATCCTCACCCTCTCCCCAGTCTCCAGCCTGGAGCCCAGACCCCCACCTGCAGGCAGGAGAGATACCCCAACCCCCCAGCGCCCCAAGACCTGATAAGTGACAAGAGAACGTGTTAGGACGCTACACTAGTAGGATAATCGAATTTGGGCGGGAAAAGAAGGCCTTGGGCTACTAGATCCCCTTCTTTTACAAATGAAGAAACTAACGTTATTTTGTCCTTCGTTTTTGAAGAGGACCAATGACATCATGGGTGTGATAAACCTGTTCAGTCTTGCACAGACATCACCGTAGTGTGGAGGAAAAGACAGTGGCCCTGGAGTGAAAGGATGAGGGTTCAAGTCCCAGTTTTTGAGGCTTGGTATCTGACCTGTTTTGGCCGTCTATTTACTTTCCAGCAAAATGAGAGAGTGCATTTCTTTAAGCAGTTTCACCTTGTCAGTTTTTAAGTGTCAAAGCCGGTATTAGAACCCAGGTCCTCTGACTTCAGAGTGCTTAGCTTTTTCCACTGGTACACGCTGCCTCTTGAGGTAATAGGAATCCACAGAGCTATTGAAAGCACACAAGTCCTTACAGCTCAGTTCAAAGGAAAAAAATGTACTTCCACCAGTATGGCCCACAGCATTTGCAAGTCTGTTATTCGTTGTACATCGTTATTCAAATAACAATTCTGTTATACTAAGGTACCTCATTATTTCTAAGTAAGATTTTGATAACACATAGATTTGTACAGTTTTGCTTTGTTTTGAGAATTAGACCTGGAAGGGACGTATTAGGTCATCTGTCATAAAACTTTCTCTTTTTCAGAGGTGGAAACTGAGGCCTGGAGGGGTTAAATCACTTGTACAGATTCATACAATTTACTAGGAGTAAGAAGAACCACCAAATAGCAAAATGCAGATTCTTAAGTTTCACTTTTGTTTCACAGTACTTGTTTTCTGGTTTCTAGGCTAAAGTTCATGGCAAGATCCACAGATGAAGCATTTGTATAACAAACATGGAAAAAAAGGAAACAACCCTCTTTTCTTTGCTATTTGATTATACTGCTCTTTTCCTTGTAAAAATGCAAATTTGGGACTCAGACTGAGCTATGTTTCTTTAATATGATTATTATGGGTTTAGAAATAACCTTGCTTGTAAATTTAGAAGTGAACAGTATTTATTGAGTGACCACTGGTTGTAGAACCCAATTTAGAGCCTTGGAGATAGGAATCAAGGGGACAGAGGTATAAGGACAGGGAATAAAATAAATAGAAAAAGAGGATGTTTATCCACAAGGAATTTATAGGACAAAACCACGAAGATGAAAAATGTTTTTGCACATTAATACAGTGCAAAGCGAAATTCTGGAGGAAATGGGGCAATCAGAATTGTGAACTGAGATTATTTTGGAATTGTCTATTTAAAGAGAGAAGGATTTTGTTCATAAGGAAAGAGAAAAGGGACTATTAAATTGAGAGAAATAATGAGTTCGTGATTGTTGATATGATTGCTTTACAAAATTATGATGAACAATTGGGACCCCATTCAGTCCTTCCCTTCATTAATAACATTAATAAAGGGTATGAAAATCATAGAATCTTAGAAATTGTGTGAAGTATTAAAGATAATCTAAACAACCTCCTAATTTTATAGATAAGAAATTGAGGTTCAACAAAGTAAAAAGTACTTTATTCAGGTTACACAGCTAATAAATGTGATCTACTAAGCTAGTGTCTTTCCCCCTTTCTTTCTGACTTAACTATTCTCTAAGTGCCATCATGATTCATCCAGTTTCCTATGTTTAAAAACTTGGTGTTATAATTTACTCTTTCTTTTCATATCCTTTTTCTTATCCTTTATTCAATTGTTTATAAAGTCCTGTTGAATCTGTCACTGAAATATCCTAGCTATCTCTGTTCCTACTATCACCTTAACTAGTACATTACCACCTGTCTGGACCATTATCATAACATAAATGCATTATTATTCTCACTTATTTCATTAATATTTCCTTCCATATATTCTACAATTTAACCGAATTCGGCTGCTCACTGGACACATTCTGAACTTTCCCATCTCCGTATCTTTGCCCAAAACCTGTGTATGGAATTCCTTTCCTCTCTCTACCTATTGATTTTTAATCTATTCTTTAAAGTCTAAGCCAAATGCCACCTCCTCTCAAAAGCTTTCTTTGTTCCCTTCAGTTGATAATGAAAGAGTAAGAATAAGGTTAATAAGATTATGTATTTGTTGTCCTTAGTACAAGATCTATAAGGGCAAGAAATTTCATGCTGTGCAAGCAAACTGTAGAATTCACCCAGTACTTAGTGCAGTGCTCTTCTTTGTTATACAACAGGCACTCATATTTTTTCCACTCCACAGTTTCCCTCATACCATGCTGTTTCTACTTCCCACTGGAAACTGTATTTTTTATAGTCTTTATGTTCAAAGATTTTGTGTGATATCTATATTACCTAATGGCTAGAGCATTGGGCCTGAAGTTGGGAAGACCTGAGTTCAAATCCAGCCTTAGATAACTTATTAGTTGTGTCACCCTATGGTAGAGTGCTGGTCCTGGAATCAGGAAGACTCAGCTTTATGCGTTCAAATGTGGCCTCAGACAAGTTACAAGCTATGTGAACTTGAGTAAGTCACTTAACTGTATTTGCTTCAGTTCCTTATCTGTAAAAAATGAGCTGGAGAAGGAAATGGCAAACCATTCCAATATCTTTGCCAAGAAAACCCCAAATGGGGATCACAAACATCTGGACGTGACTGAACACTACCACCACACTGGGCAAGTCACTTAATTTCTGTTTGCCTCAGTTTCTTGAACTGTAAAATGGGAATAATAATAACACCTACCACCCTGGATGGTTGTGAGTATCTTAAATGTGGTAATATTTGTTAAAAATCACAGTGCCTGATACTTAGTAAATGCTGTCTAAATACGTTTCCCTTCCCTTTTCCTCATTTTCCCCTATACATACAACATCCTTATATATTGGTTGATAGTATTTGTCTCATTCTGTAAATGAAGAAGCCAAGAAACTGAGACTTTAAGTGGCTTGTTAAATATCACAAAGTTTTGCAAAGTTTAAAAGGCTATACGGTTAACATCATCTTGTTGAAATTCTAGCTATTTCCTACCTGTGTGACTTCTAACAAGTCACTTTTTCTTCTGTGGTTTCAGTTTCCTTATCTGTAAATGACAGAGTTGGCCTACATGATTTTAAGGTTCTAATGAACCTATGATGTCTCTCATAGAATTGTTAGTGGGGTGGCTTGCTTAAGAAACTTGTATTTGACGCTTTAAATACAGAGTATACCAAAACTCTAATCCAGTTTTAAGTCTTAATAGCTTAAAACTGCACTGAGTTTTGGAGCATCCTCTATAAAATTTGTCATTTTGTGTGATAAGGGACATGTTACGCGTTTTGTTCTTCTTTGGTATTAGTAAGGTTTTAGCGAATATATTTACTGAACAGTGTAATTTTAACATGCTTCATTAAGTGTAGGATTTTAATTGTATTTATATAATGTTTTGCTAACTCTTTGAGTTATGAAGTGAAAGAACCACATCTTATTTGGGTTATATAGAGCAATTATTAAGATAATTTAAATTATATTTAAAAAATCAATACATTTTACAAACCTCATTTTATACTTAGAAATACTTAAAAAGAAATACTGAGATTTGTCTTCCAATGTAGGATTTTTTAAAGCTGGTTATTTAGTTTCTCTAGTTTCTCATTGTCTGTCTGTATGATGCCAACACTTTGCCTAAACCATACCAAATCTTTTGCTTGTAGACAGCATGATATGGTGAGAAAGAGTTCTGAATTTGGAGCCAGACAACCTGGTTTTAAATTCAGGTTTTGCCATCTCCTACCTGCGTGAAGAAAGTAGTTTCTCTTTTCAAGCCACTGTAGTGGCATCTGGTCCTTCTTCTCCTGCCTTAGCTATGACACTGCTCATGGTTCTCTTCCTCTGTCTGATTGTTGCTTCTCAGTCTCCTTTGCTAGATCTTCATCCATGTCTGGAATATTAATCATGCTTTGTGCTATGCTGTCCTGCTGGCTGATCTCATCAGCTTGTAATCACAGTCATAGAACTTGAGAATTTAGAGTCAACAACATCTCGTTGAATCTATACATAAAGGAATCCTCACCATAACATGCCCAACAAATAGTTGGCCAGCCACTGCTTGAAGACCTATAAGGAGGGGAAATCCACTCACTGCCTCTTGAGGCAAGCCATTCCACTTTTAGAAAGCTAGGAATTTTTTCCTGTGGTTAATCCTAAATTGTCTTCTTGGTAACTTTTACCCATTGTCTCTGCTTCTGCTCTTTGGGAGCAAAAGAACAAACCTAATCCTTCATGATAGTCCTTCAGATGCTTGAACACAGGTAGCATGTCCTCTCTGTCTTTTATCTAGACTAAACATGCCCAGATTTCTTCCTTTAATTCATACATCATGAACTCAAGGCCCTCAACCATTCCGGTTGCCCTCCTCTGGACTCTAGCTTCTTCGTGCCCTTATTAAACTGAGGTGCCCAGAACTAAACACAATGTGCCAGTTCAAGTCTGATTTACAGTCGGTACAATGGGAATATCACCTCTCTGTTCCTGAAAGTTCTACGTCTCCGATGAAACCTAAGAATATATTACCTTTTTTGGCTGCCATATCACATTGCTGGCTTTGTTGTTGTTAATACTTAAGTGAAAGACTTCATTTATCCCTCTTGAATTTCATGTTATTACATTCAGCCCCATGCCCTGGCTTGACAAAATGCTTTTGGATCCCAACTCTGCTATCCAATGTGTTAGCTCTACATAGCTTGGTGTCATTTTCTCCCATGGGTTCAGCTAGCATCTCTATGTTGATGATTGTCAGATCTGTATATCTAACCCTTATCTCTCCTGAGCTCCAGTCCTGCATCAACAGCTATCTTTTGGACATCTCAAACTAAATGTCCTGTAGGCACCCCTCAAACTTAATATATCCAAAGTGGTACTCCTACCAAATGGATCTTTTCCACCAAACCCTTCAATTTTCTGAACACTATTACTGTTGAGGGCACCACCATCTTCCCAGTTATCCAAGCAACCTCAGTGTTATTTCTACTTATGTTCATGCCACATAAGCAATTTGTTGCTAAATCTTGTCATTTCTATCTTCACAATATATAGTATATGTCCTCTTATCTATCACATAGACAATACTACAGAATATAGGTCCTTATCATCTTTCTCCTGGACTATTGCAATTAGTTGAGCTCATACTGAACTGATCAGCCACAGTTGAACACACTATACCTTGACCACAACACTGTGATGTCATTGGTCCTCTTTGAGTAGGAAGGATGAACAAGAGATACAGGACCTTTCACCTGGACTATTGAAATAGCCTTCTAATTGGTTTTCCTGCCAAAATAATTTTCCTGGCGTACAGATTGGCTTATAATGATACCCCTACTCAATAAAGACCAGTGGACCCCTATTACCTTCAAGATCAAATATAAAACCCATTAATTGGCATTTAAAACTCTATTACCTGCACGTCGTACCTTTCTTGTCTTTGCTTTACTCCTCCCTCACTCTGAACCACCTACACTGGCAGCTTCCTGTTTCTCACACATGGCACCCCACCTCCTATCTCTTTGAATTGACTTCTTTTTTTCCTTCTCACCTCCACCTCTAATTCCCTTGACTTTCTTCGAGACTCAGCTTAAATCCTACCTTTTATAAAAAGCCTTTCCTGGTCCCTGAAATTGCTGGTGCTTTTTTCCTTTCAGTGATTATCTCAATCTCCTCTGTATATGTCTTGTATTTGCCTAGTTATTTACTTGTTATCTGTCCCATTAGAATGTAAACTCCTTGAGGGCAAGGATGATTTTTACTTTACTTTGTGAGTGCTTATCACAGAACCTTGCACATAGCGAGTGCATAATTAGTGCATGTCTGTTGTAAAATGGGCAGTTGGACTAGATTATCTCTAAATTCTATGCGTTTTTAAGAAAGGCTACATTCCAGTTGAATTCATTGTAGATGTATTGAATGCCCTATGCCCTAGTAGGTCTTCATGCATTTTAAAACATAAGATAAAATTTCCTTTTTTGGGGGGGGGGGTCTTGGGCCTGTGATTGTATTGGGGTACTGAATTCCTCTTTAAAATCACTGATTTCAGGTCAACAGCTACTAAGCAACTCTTAGAACTGCCTGGAGGTACTTTGAAGTTAAGTAACCTGCCCTGGGTCACACTACCGATATGTGTCAAGGCAGGACTTGAAGGCAGCTTTCCATCCACTAAACCAAGTTGTGTCTCAAAAAAAACTTTAATAATTATAAAAGGTCAACTGAAACATTAGTAAAATCTATGGGGATTCAATAAATTTTGCAAATTTGTAAATTTGTAAATAGGAAGGCTTATCATGCTTAAAAATATTTCTATTAATAGTTATCTACAATTTGTAAGCCACGAAGATAAATAGAAAAAAGCTTTTATACTTTTCAAGTCAGATAACTATAAAAAAACCAAACACTTATTTCCCAACTATTTAGATGTTCATGAATTTATTAATTGTATTCAAACATATAGTCATAATTTTGGTGGCATTAATAATGTACAGGAGAACATTTTGCTTTGGTATTAATCACCTGATAAGAAAGTAGTAGACAAAACAGTAAGTAATTTTCTTCTTCCACAAAGTCTAGTTTTTAATGTTATTAGCTTACATTTATAAAATGTTTCAGGGCTTGCAAAGGGTTTTATGTATCCCTTTTGTTCCTCATAACAACCCTATGAAGGTTGATAGTGCAGATATTATCTTTGTTTTACAAATGAGGAAACTGAAGCCCATAGGAATTTATTCAAAGTCACATAGGTAGCAAATGACAACCTTGATTTGAAACCACTGTTTCTGATTTTGAAGTCCACTTTTTTTTTGTTGCTCTACAGTGCTTTTCAGTAACAGATAATATACTCTGACAAGAGGAAAGCAGTATAAAAATGATACTAATTATTACTGTATTTATGTAGTGTTTTAAGGTTTAGAAAATGCTTTACCTTAACCCTATGAGGTAGGTACATGACATAAAATACATTAAAATATTGTTTTTACATATTTGTTAAATCTGACACATCAGACAGCATAACCCAGAAAGCCTTTAAGGTCCTTTCCAGTTGTAAATCTATGATCCCAAGATCACTAAAGATCTTATAGTGAGGCACAGAAAAACTAATGAAATAAAGCCAGATATCTCTCTCTCTCTCTCTCTTTTTTTCTTAAGGCAATTGGGTCACACAGCTAGTTAAGTGTCAAGGTTTGGTCTGAGGCCGGATTTGAACTCAGGTCCTCCTGACTCTAGGGCTGGTGCTCTATCCATTTGGCCATCCAGCTGCTCCCAGATACTTCTTTTATATCACTGAGATAGACATTTGTCTAAGTGTTATATTTTAATGTAACTTTATTTCTCTGTAATTGATGTATTACTCTTAAAGAAGACACAATGTAAGGGTGTTGAAAAACATACAGAAATTCATATAGTTCTAGGTTATCCTGTTCTTCCAAACAACATACTTAATGTTCCTTAAAGGTTTTCAGAATAATGGTCCATGAAAAGTCAGGCATTGGTAAGAGTTATTTAAAGTGAAACAGGATTCTTCCACTCAACTCTACACATAAATATGATACTAGGCAATTATTCCATTCAATTAAAAAAATAACCAAAAAGCAAATGCAAATGTAATCACTGGCTTTGATTCTTGATTGTAAATGTTAGTTACTTATAACAGACAGCATATATCTGTATGTGTATACATATATATGGAGAGAGAGAGTAAGAGTGAGAAGAGTGTGCACTGATAAGGAAAAGGTAATCTTTAAAGGAAATAGTTGAAAATTAGTTGCTTTTGTTTCCAGAAAAGCTGTATTTCTTAAGTAACTAAAAATATTTGTAAAAAAATTTTAAATGGACCCATGCCAATGGCAAATGAAGGAACATCCTTAATAAATGGAACTTGGTAATCAATAAGATGCTGTTCATTAATATAATAGAGAGGATTATATATTTTTAAAAATTACAGCAAGAATATGTTATAGCTTTAGAATTAAGAGATTATAATTATGATAGTTTGAGTTAAGTTGATTTCATTTTATTTTAAAGTCTTTGATACCTTATTGAGACATGAAGGTGACCCTAGGTTTCTGACAGGTTCTATCAAATTAGAAAAGTTTTGAATGCTAGTTGTCAGTATATCTACTCTCCAGGGACCACCTTAACTTACCTCCCAGTTCCCCTTTTCTGTATGACCCGGGGCAAGTCACATAACTTCTCTCTGTCTCAGTTTCCTCCTCTGTAAAATGAAAGAGTTTGTGTGAGTGGCTTGTAAGGTGCCTCTCAGCTCTAAATCTATGCTTCTATAAAATACTAAGTAAAGAAATAGGCCCCTCTCCCTTAGAAGCTCGATATACAAAAAATAAATGCACTTATACTTTGTTTTATATGTCGAAGTAGGAATAAATTCTAAGAAGTTGAAAATGATGTCAAGAAGAAAAAAGTATACAGGGAGGGAATCCTGATGATATGATGGCAAAAATGTCATTTGCTACTATAGATAAAAAAGATGAATTTCAACGTAACTATATTCATATTTAATGTATATAAGCTATAGGGTATTACATATTTAATCACTACTATGTATTTTTTTTCTTTGAATAAATGGTATTAACTTGAGCACTTGTATTTTTGAGTAGGAAATAAATTAATAGTCTTCCCTAGGATAGAGTTTCATAACCCTAACTCTGTCGGAGTTCTCTCATTTGTAAATTGGGGATATTAATAGTTTTGTGCTACTTACCCTTACTAGGTTGTTGTGAAGATCAAATGAAATGGATATGAACATTGAAAAATGAGCTATATTCATATTATGCGAAGGCACTTCTCACAAAAACCTGGTATTTGTGATTCTGACATTACTCAAAGTAAAGGACCAGATCATTCCACAGTTTATAGACTATTTCCTTAATGATTTTTGGAGCCCCATTAGTGTCAGCAAGCACTACTTTTAGGGACACATTTTTAAAAATAAGATTTATATGTGTTGATTTGGATAATCCAAAAGAAATTATGTATGTGAAAATGTTCTATAATCTGAAAGTGTGTCTGCACTTAAATGGTTGAATATTTATAGAGTTGGAAATGCAACAAATAAAATGGGAATTTAATGTCCATGGGATAACTGTTACACAACTTTACATAATTTTTAGAGCAACA